TAGGTCAGTGGAATTACCATAACCTAGCCATATTTAAAATGTACCTGACAGGCAAAGCATCACCCAGGAAGCTTCTGTGCAGAAATGATTGGCTTCAAGACTAGCCAATAGAATAAACCCTTTCTTTCCTCTCTTTATCCAATCAGTAGCGGCCTTTGGCTTTCTTGCCAGTTTAACTCTACGCTTTGTATACAAACCGATTAACCTGATGCCCCTCTCTGGCACTGGACAAGCGCATCCAGATGACATGCAGATCTGATGAGCGTCGCGTTGACGCTTGTGAGTGAGCCGGGTGTCACGCGGTAGTATTGTGACTGGCTGTTTACCCGCGGAGCCCACAGCTAAACTTCATACCGTGAGACCTTTAGGAACTTTAAGTAAATATTTTTAATAACATGTATTCCGAGGACATTGATAAACTCGTCGCGGGCTGAACAGCTAAATGTGGAGCAGTGCTAAGTGTTCAAGAACGGTATGTTTACTCATGTTTGTTTATGCACGTTAACCTGTTTACTGAGTAAAATATAGAAGTTGCTGACAGCATGTCAGCCGCCTTTCATATTGTCTTATGACTGGTTCAGAATATACAAATAAGTCAGTAAGTTTAAGAAATACATTATTTTATTAGACTCTGTCGTGATTTATTTCCTGAATTCTCATTATTGCATCATGTGTGGTTTTTTGGTATCACATGCTTTTAATATAATGACAGTGGTTTTGTTGTTGTTCTAGGTTAGGATTTTGGTCAGCTGACCACCTCTTGAGAAACAGCATATCAGGCCATGGCTGGCAGGGATGTAAACGAGAGCACTCCTCTTTTGGACAACTCTGTGGCTTCAACCAGATCCGAGTCAGTGTTCAATGGCAGGAGACTGGCCTGTGCTGCCATACTGCTGGCAGAGTCTTTAGAGAGGATGGCCTTCTATGGCATCACCTCGAACCTGGTGCTCTTCCTCAACAGCAGCCCCTTCTATTGGGAGGGCACTTCGGCCAGCCAGGCCCCCTTGATCTTCATGGGAGTCACTTATTTGATATCGCCTTTTGGTGGCTGGCTGGCGGATGCGTTCCTTGGCAAGTTTGCAACCATAGCCTTGAGTTTAGTTCTGTACCTG